AATTCCAGAACCGGATCTCAGTCATGCATGGATGGATTTTGTTCAGATTTAGCACAATGTGTTGTACATATGCAGGTGCATTTCGGTCATGATCTGCTTTGAATGTATATGTCACTCAAATATGAACGGAACGGGGACGTGTCATTGACAATGACTTGTTTCAACTTCTTGTTAAAAACCCCAAGTCCAATTGCTTTGATATTACATATATAGGTACTACATGTGGATCTCTCTCAGATTTGTTCATTTTGTAATGATATCTTCAATTCTCTAATTTTGGTGAATATTTTTGTCATTTTTGGTAAAAAGTGATATTTTCAACTTCTTTTTAAAAACCGCAAGTCCAATTGCTTTGATATTACATATATAAGTACTACATGTGGATCACTCTAAAATTTGTTCATTTCATGATGATATCTTTAATTTTCTAATTTTGGTGAATATTTTTGTCATTTTTGGTAAAAAGTGATATTTTCTTCTTGTTAAAAACCACAATCATTTATGGTGAAAAATGATATTTTTGAATTCTTGTTTAAAACAGCAAGTCCCATTGCATTGATACTATGCATATTGTTCTAATATATCTTCTGTACTTTAATTGAAATGTGCATTGCTAACAGCGGAGCTATCTCAGCCGAGAGGCTGCTTGTTTAACTTAGTTTATACTTTTGGAATTTTTTGTCATGGAATATATATATTTTTGTCAAGATATTGGTTTTATTTCAGTTGAATTTGTTCTTTTTCTGTGGGTACTTTCACTTAAACTTGAAAATCTTATCAATTGTACTAAAATATCCACCAAGTGCTGAGTTTTCAAGAGTAGCACAGATGATTTCAAGGTATGAGCTGAAATTTGACTGAAATAAAATTGATACCAGATAGTGCAGTAATTAATTCAATATGTTATTTTCCTTATATATGTATAGTGTAAATCATCCTTTCCGGCAAATAAAATTAACATGTACTTTTCATGCCTAAAAGTAGTAAAAATAGTTCAAGTGTGCTAAAACATTACCTCAAGTTAAAACTAATTTGAATTTCGCATATATTTCTTGTCAAACTAAAATCATAACCGAATAATAAACAATGCTAGTAGAACTAGCAATTTAAGCAATTTTGACAAAGTTTATATTCTTCACCTTTTCTAACACTGTTTTTGTGTTGATTTGTGTTGATCCTCAAGTTCAAGAAGAAAAATCTAAGAGAATGACATTTTGGAGAACGAAAAACAGAAAGATTTTGTGATCGATAAGTCAATAAAATACAAAAAATTGCCAGAAAAGTACAAATTTTATGGGGGAGGGGGGGATTTAGAGTTTTCACCATTACACTGTAATATTAATTGAGGAACATCGTTATTAATCAATGTAATTATATCAACCGTATTGTTGTTAATTTTTGTTCAGTATTTTTCCCCACCAAAATTTCAACCTATATTTTTTGTGCAAATTTTTTTTTTATCCACATTATTGTATTTTGTTCCTGAACTTTCATTTTAAATTTTGCCTTGCAAAGAAAAAAGGGTACAAATGGACAAGTATGTTGTTAGTTTGTATCTATTTGCAAACTAAATTTATAAATATCTAGATTTACAAAATGTGAGGATGTGATAGTTATGCTATGTTTTTACTATGCAGCGAAGTTAAAATGGTATTTACATAAATTCTATTAGAAAATTCTTAAAAATGTTTTAACAATACATACTATTTTGGGATTAAAATGTATAGAAAATGATGTGATAAAAGAATCAAATGATGCTATGGGTAGATAGAGATAAAAATAGCATTTAATAGTTTAATGACCTGATCAGGTGTTGCCATGTAGACGTGATTATTTTTATTTGTCTGCCACAGAACTACAGTTTGCTCATAAAAAATACTGTGGAATACTTTATTTTGGCTGGAATTAATTTTCGCTAAAAAGGCTTTTTGGGCGTTTTGTGTGGAATTTATTTTCACCGATTTTTGATGAGTTTAATGTCAAATATAGGAAAAAAAGTATATTCGCTGGATTTTATTTTCAGGGAAACATCCTTCAGCGAAAATAGCAAAAGTAAATTTCAAGCGAAAATAAAGTATTCTACATTAGTCTGCATTGGGACTTACACATACGTTAAGAGTTTTGTTGTTGTTTTTTTATGTTTTTTTTTTTTCAGCAAATGCTGCATGTTCGTTTTTATTTGATTTTTTTGCAGACACATCAGTTTATTTTTTGCGGGTTTTCAGCAAACAGGTTTTCAGTTGCACCCTTCCATGCAAGTCAGTTTGTCAGTACAGGTTTTTTTTTTTGCTTTACTCGTTTCAAGTTTAAATTAAACGCTCCTCTGCTAATTGAATTTCACAGACGACAAAGGAAAAACTTTGTCAAGGTCCAAGAGGAGATGCGTTATTGAGAGGCAGTACAAGACAAAAGATTCAGTATGGTGCTCAGATGTGGAGGACGAGGAGGATTCAAAGAAAGCTGAGGTCAATGCCAAAGGTCAGTGGATCTGTATCTCTGGATCAGGTGACTCAGCCGGACTCCTTAAGTTAGCCAAGATGTGTAGGTTTTTAGTTTGGTGGTGGGGTGCAACTGAAAGAGGGCGCTATTTTCCTCTGTTCCTCTTACTGTAGTTGAAGCGAACGTATGAGTGAGTTTGCATGTTAGATCATTCTTTTGATATCTTTCGTTTTATCTTTGTTTTAGTTCTTCATCCAAGTCCATCACTGGTGTCTGCTACATTAACGCCTACAGTGACGTCACAACAGGTCTTCGTGTTCTCTACATCATTGGCTAACAGGGCTGCTGAGGCGGTTCTCTCAGGTCAAACAGATTCTATCATATCCTTTCACAGAAGTCAAGCAGCTAAAAGGAAGTACTTACAGGTTGACAATGTAAGTTGCTACTTCATAGTGTGGCCTCTGAACGGCCATTAATTATTACAATTCGTGTCGTCTTCTTGCTTGTTTTGCTTTAAAAAAAGAATGCATCAACAAGAAATTTGTGATATTCAAACGATCGACACTAAACAAACATGGTGTTTGCTATAAATGGGAGCCGCATCTAAGGTGTTTGGCCCTTTTCAAACAAGACATGACCTTTGAATGTTGACTTTAAAATAATTAAATTTAAACAAAAACAACCAATAAATACCCAGAATGAAATTCTTTGTTCAGTTTTATTAAAAAAGTTTTATAAATTCTGTTGACATGACAAATGACGTGTTTGCTGGAAAACGCCCCTGGAGATGTGCTTCAAATACTGGGCATGAATTATATCTCCGATCAACGTTGCAGCAATATTTCGTCGCTAGATCGATGTAATACTAAAAAAATGCTTTAAATAATAAAGTTTGCCAAGGTAGGAGGGTGTACAGAGTGTGATATACAAATTCAAATTCTTAGTGTCTTTGTTATTCGCTAAGCCTGCTTTTCAAGTTTTTGATGGTGATAATCTTGCTCATTTCATCTTGAAAACATTTCCAAGCACCCAGTGGTTCTGTGATGCTCCTGGTTAGAACTATGTCGCTTTCTAACATTCACACACGAATTGGTTTTTCGTGGTATCATCGTACATGACTGTACATGATTATGAAAGTTGTCTAATAAATCCTCAGTTTACGTTATTAATTTTATATGTATCTTTCGTTTTTTACTTCAGGAAATTACAAGGCGGCCTTCGCTATCACTGGATATTAACTCCCAGTCACCAATTATGCAAGATAAGCTGCCACTGACATTGTCACCACATCCTGCAACAGAGCCACATCCCTCGGCCCAATCGCGACTGCAGCAGCAAGATCTACGTAGACAGTTTCCACAGTATGGCCAACAACAATCAAATCAACAGCAGCAATTCCAGAGGCAAGCAAATGCACAGTTTCCAAACAATCAAATAGACTTGCACAATCTGCAGGCAAGACATCAGCTGCTTACGAAACAGCAACAGCAACAGAACTCACAACATCTGTCAAATTCAGAAACTGTGCAACACTATCAGCAGCAACCACCAACGTTGCAGCAGCAGCAACAGGGTCACCAAAATCAACAGCAGAATATTCAACAGCAGCTTCAACAACAGATAGGTTCACCGCTTATGCCACAACAGGCACAGAAGATGCAGCAACAACAACCACAGCCACCCATGCCGCAGCAACACATGATGTCTTCGGGACAGCAGCAACCTCAAACTGCCTCCATGTTGCAGAGTGGAATGTCACAATTGCAACAACGACTGCAGCAACCATTGCAAGCATCACAGCAACAGCAGCACCATCCACAACAGCAACAACAGCAGCAACAACTGTCACCCTTGGATTCATCTTTTCTGCCCCAACAGATTCCCTTGGATAATTTGGTAGATCCGGAAACTGAAAATTTAGATCCAACTGCACTCTGGGAAAGTCCAACTGCAAGTGTTAAATCACAATGGGGGCCTGGTCAACAAATGATCATGCCACCTCAGCAGCAACAACAACAACAGCAGCAGCAGCAGCAACAACAACAACAACAGCAGCAGCAACAGCAGCAACATTATCAAGAACTGCAAAGGAGAATGATGGGCCCCAGACCGCAATTTATGACACAACAGCAACAGCAGCAATATTTGCAACAACAAGGAATGTCGTTTCCAGGGCAACCACATCCACCGCGAGGTATGACTCAGGCTGCAATGATGGACATGGATTTGCAACAGATGCAGCGGTCATTCTCTCCATCGCAGGTCAATTCTGAAGGACTTGGGCCAAGGAATATTGATAACCCCACTCCTGAACAACTGAGGCATAGACAGGAAAGATTAAGGACTTTGCAAGAAATGCAACGGTTGTTGTTCCCTGAACGGCATCCACAGCAACAAGGTGGATTTCCACCTAATGGGAACATGGGTATGGGATCGCCTCCACCTAATATAGGTCCTTCTAACAAACTTGCAATGAACGCAATGCAATTTGGGCCAGGAATTCTGTCTCCACGCTCTATGACTTCACCAGAAATGGTGAGCTCACCACAAGGTCCATTGACATCGCAGCCACCTATGATGACATCACCACCGAATATGATGCAATCTGCACAGCAGCCCAACATGATGTTACAAATGCATGGTGGACCAGAATCGCCGCATTCAATTGAAAGCATTAAAGCACAACAAGAGTGGATGAAGCTGCAGCAGGAGCACTATGACACTAAGAGGAGGCAGATTCTGACACAGCATGATCTGATGAGGCATCAAATGCAGCAACAGATGCAGCAAGAACAAGGCATGATGGGTGGACCACCTTCTCAATCTGGTGGTCCTATGGATGTGCCCTTGAATCCTCAGCACAGTCAAAGAATGCCCCCACCTCCATATTATGCATCTCATTTGACCCAGACTGCATCACAGAGGCGGAGCAGCTTATCTGGACCAATGCCATCCCCGACATCTCCACATCTGCCAAAATCACCTGCTCATTGGCTTCCGGCGCCACAGGCGTCACCGAGACCTGCTAGTACTGGATCAGTGCCATCACAAACGATACCTCCGAATATGGCGCAACCAACATCAATGCCTCAGCAAAGGATGCCACAGGCCAGTCCATACTCTGCAAACTTCAGTGGACCCCCAGGAATGAGTACCACAAATCCTGTTGCAGGTATGAACAGTCTTGTTGCGGGGATAAGGGGGAATTTTTCACCGGCTCGATTAGAACAGCATTACACTCAGCCACTTCCATCATCTGGTCAAGTAATGCAACAGGTACCTCCGTCTGGTCAACAACCACACCAGACATCTTCGGGTCGCTTGACCCAACAGCCACAGCCATCATCTGCTCACCAATCTCCTCACCCCGCAACAGGTCCATCTCGAAAACAATCACAAAAGATAGCTCCATCAGGACAAACCACATTAACAGCACAGTTACCACAAGGTCCATCATCGGGACAACTCTTGCAACAGGGTTCATCAACAGGGCAACAAATTACTTCGTCAGGACAACCTCCGCAACCAGTTTCATCATCTGGGAAATTGCAATCGCAAGTTCCTTCATCAGGGCAAACACCACAGCAAATTCCTCCCTCAGGTTCATTACCACATCAAGGTCCTTCCACTCTAGGAACAACGCAGGGGATATTTAGTCCTTCAAATACTGCACCTTCTAGCACATCGTCTCAGTCGCAAGGCATCTTTCCTGACAGGGGAGCGCAACAACCAGTGTCTTCAGTATCCACTCCCATGTCGGCAAATGTAAATAGTCCTGCATTGTCTTCCAAAACGATTGGAGAACAGAGCCCAGCAACTCCCACAGTTCCTGCGAGCAGCAAGCAACCACAACCGAGCCCACAGTCAGCTGCTGCATCAGCTGCAGCTGCAGTTGTGTCTGCAGCAGCAGCGACTGCATCTACTGTCCCAGCAACAAAAGTACCTTCCGCAGATGAAGCATCTTCTAACAGACTGTTGGTTAATTTCCCACCAAGTGCCCTGAATCGAGATAAAGCTCCAAATTTCCCACCACGAGGGGAGGACTTTAACCAGTATGCTGCAACATTTTATCAGAAACCAGCTGTGGAAAAGTCTTCATCCAGTGCATCACAAAAACTGCAACATTTCCCACCACAGACTGCTTCACAATCACAAACTAATTTCCCATCTCCTCAACCATTACCACCACCACCACCACAACAACAGCAACAGCAACAGCTTCCACGTCCTCAACAACAACAACAACTGCAGCATCCACAGCAACAACAGATGCAGCTACAACAGGCGCAGCAACATGCACATCAGCAACAACATCCGCAACAGCAACAACACCATCCACAACATCATCCACAAAACCATCCACAGCAGCAACAACAACAACAGCACCACCACCACCCACAACTGCAACACCAACAACTGCAACATATGCAGCAACTTCAGCAGCAGCAGCAGCAGCAGCAACAACATCAAATGCAGCAGTCACAACAAATGGCTTCAATGCCACCAGGATCTGGTCTTCCAGGACATATGAATTCTATGCCAAATGTCAGCAAATCAGGTACATATATAGATGGAAATGTTGGGAGTCCTTTGCGACCCTCTTTGACTAGCGTGCCTAGTCTCAATCAGCCTGGATTAAGTGCTTCTCAGTTTCCAAACCCAGGGTCATTGCAAAATGCTCAGCCTGCTTCACAACCTGTGTCGTCACGACAACAACCTATGATGTCTGGAACATCAACGTACATGTATGGCCCGCAGCCGGCTACTGTACAAAGCAATAGTAAAGGAATGACTTCAACGGTATCCAGTCAAAATTATGCACATAATCAACAACAACAGTACCAGCAACACATGCTTCCATCACAGCCTCCGGATCTACAATTACAATTACAGCATTCTATTAATTCTTCTGCGGCGCTAAATCGGACAGGTCAACAGAGTACAGCTATTATATCTCAGCCTCAGCCTCAAACACAAACTCAACACCAGTCAAATACAATACATTATTCTCAACCAACAACAACTTCAAACAATCCTTTAGCAGGATTTGAACCTCCTTTGCTGCCGGACGGGAAAGGACCAAAACAGACACTGCAATATTTTCCTAATCCAAAAGTCCCTGCGCCACCGCCGGGGTCATCACAAGGACCGCCATTACAGCAGTCCCAACCACCGCCGCCTCTTCAGCAGTTGGCTCACATGACACAAGCTCAACAGTTGCCACCCAACTCAAGGTTTGCTTCGATGAACATGGATAATATGCAAAATATGAACATGAATCCTAATATGGCTGCCATGAGTCCAAATATGGCAGTCAGACAGAGACATCAGTATCCAATGGGTGGTGGGGGGCCCATGGATGCTCATATGAATAACCCAAATATGGGCATGAATCCAAACTTTGGTTATGCAATGGGAATGCAAGGACCTCGTATGAGCCAACAGGAAGCCATGTTACTTCAAAGACATCCTGGCCAATCAGTGACGTTGTACTTTCCACCTCCCAAATCAGGACCTCATCAGGCACAACCTGGCATAATGTATGCAAGAACTAGAGTGCAAGGCCCTGGTTACATGGGGCAAGGGCAGCCTCCCCAAGGGCAACCACATATGCCTGTCATGCAACAAGGACAATTCCAAAATTATGGCATGCCTGGCCCCTATGGACCGCAAAATCCCCCAATGCCAAATACAGGGAGGTAGTAGTGAAATTCCTTTGCAGTACTTTTAATGTTTATCCAATAGAATGCTCCTATTTGCTGAATGATTTGGTTGGGTGCATTTTGAACAGTCGTGCCTTAAAGGTGCCTTGTTATCAGAGCAAACATGTTTTGAATGCTAATTATCTCACTTCAAAGAACAAAAATTTTACTGGAAGCTCATCTGTGCTTGCATTGCTTAGAGATGTATGTCATGTGATATGAGCGCAATTTGCCATGCTTCATTTAGTGTTCTTCTCCAAAACTCCTAGTGTGTAATTCTGTATAATGACGACCAGTACACCTGATTTGGTTTCTCGGGTTCTGGAAAAAAAAATGATACCACTGTTTGTTGCTAATTATTAAGCGCAAGTTTCGCACCATGCTTGGATGGCATGGGAACTAGAAAAGATATAATTATTTTTTGCGTTCGTGATTACAAATATCCAATAATGGATTGGTGAAATTCTGCATACCAAGACAAAGGCATACCTCGTTTTAAAGATATGAAAAACAAAAAAAAGATTGTTCTTGCTGTAGGTAAAATGGTGTATACGTTATTCAGATTTGAAGGGAAATGAACGAACACTGATTACATTACAAACAGGTCTCAATTTATTGTTAACCTTTTTTTGGCATTGCATGAAGCACTCAAAGCTTTTGGGGGGGGGGCACATTTTGTGTAGCTGATACATACAACACATTTTTGTTCTGATCAGAAACGAACCGATTTATTTTCAAAAGTTTCACCAACATTCTAGCACACATATTTCAATTCTGATTTTGAGCTAATTACTCACAGTAATGAGGTGTTCCTGTGTTTTCCCTCAAAAATGTCAAAACATGATATTCGAAACAAGAATTTTAGATTTCTGTGATAGCTCCTTTATATTAATGCCTTCTGGTGAAAACCAAAACCAAAAAAGCGATAAATAATTTGAAATAATTTATGCCATTTTATCGAGAAAATCCTTGGTGTGCTTATATTTTATGTATGTTAAATCACAATTTGTAACAAATTGGTCTTGTGGATGTTCTGGTAAAATATTTAAAAATAGAACAAAAAAACGTACATTAAACTTTGCACTGTATCTGAATTTACCTTGGTCAGTCCGTACAATGTGTATATTGGGATACAACTACCTCATGCGTTGTCCAAATCACGATGTCTTCCAGATTGCAGTATAGTCGTGGGCAAGCAGATCGGGAGAACTAAGACCCTCCCCCTCGTCTACGTAGGTAGCGCTAGATCATTTAAGTTGAAGAGTGGTAAATATGTTCAAACAATGTCAGTAACTACAATCTTTGTAGTAAACCAGCCAAGCTTTGAACTTTACATCTTAAAAACTAGCGTGGAATAGATGCAACGTTTGACTAGCTATACACCAACCCCCGATAATGGTACTATGGTATGATTTGCTCAATGCTCATTCAGATTTGTGCGATGTCATGCACACTTGGACGTCCCGAAGAATTAAACAGTCATATTATAGCTCAAATTTAATTTGCTTTTGTCAGTTTAAATCCTGCATAGTCATGTGACTTCTAGCATTTACGATGATGTCATTTTTTTTTACAACTACGATTCAGACCTATGATCAATAGCCGACTATATGCATTATAAGAACTATCTGTACCGTACTGTACTGTATTTTTTTTTATGTTTACCATGTGTTAATGTAGTGGTGTACAGCAAGTCAAACATTGCATAGATTCTATACAAGGATTGGAAATTTGTGGGGCTTAGAAGTATTTTATTAAATGGCGTTTTACAGTCTTGATATCTAGTGGTATTCGCGCCGCGCATGCGCAATATTTGGGTCACATAATAACAATACCGGAGAGTTTAATTGTTCCGCAGATCAATGAATACGAACTAGGTAATTACTGGAATGATTAGAATGCATCCAAATAAGTATTTAATCAACTATCGATCTACATTCATGTTTGACACTCAATTATCACATTGGGTTATGCGAAAATCAATTTTGATCGACACCCAACTTGCACATGTACGGCGCAATGGTCTTCGCTCAGCGTTACAATGCTAGAAATTCTCTATCTCGTACAAAAATGAATTTGTATAAATTTAATCTGCTCAGATTTTAATTTGCAAAATAAAACAAAACGAGTTACCACTCAAAATCGGGGAAATCTAAAGCTTTGAAAGTATTCACCTGCGTGGTTATTACTGAATAAATTTGTAAGAGCATGGATTTTTTTTTTATTTTGACTATATTAAGAGAAATCATGATACGATCCAGACTGACGCTTGATTTATTTATTCATACATACGCTGATAATTTAGATAACTGAAACTGCAGCCTGTCTTAATTTTTACATTTTTTTTGGCTAAAACAGCCAACCAATAAACAAAGCCAGATTTACACTTGATTATTTTGTCAGTCAGAATGGTTATTTGGCAGCCAATGAGGAAGAGTGTTGCAGGAATAATTCAGCATTTAATTACATATTAAACCATTGCAATAAATTCTAATGCAGAAAAAGCTAAGGGGAACGGTGTATTCTTGTTTGAAATATGTAAGTCATTCTGTTCAAAGAACTGTTTCACTCTATACTGTATTTCGAAGTGCAAGTAAGCTTCATTCATAATTTTGTCTTTAGTGGGATACTGGACGAATCATTGCTCATGATACTAATTATGCGCATGTATAATATTGCTCATGACTCTTTAATTATGCGCATGTATAATGTTGTCTATGCAATCATTAATTCCATATGAAGTTTACAGTAAGTGGACAAATCTGATGCCGCAATTACTTCATTTTGCAATCATTCAAATCGAATTACATAGATTATTTATTTTTAATGACATTAACACACTGCAGTTCAAACTTGGGCTATTGTTTGATATTTCGTTTTCATCTGCATTTGTGTATATTTTGCAAATATAAATGAATTTCTGACCATGAACTTGTCAAACTCTACATTAATTTGGGCATTCAATATCTTACATGACATGTTCAGTGTCGTAGCAATTAGGACAAGACAATGAACTTTATTCAGGGCAAAAAAAATGCTTTTTTTATACACTGAA